CTCAATATAGGAGATTACACACATGGCAAGCATACTTACCTTTTTATAATTTTGATATTATTCATATTAAAGGTGTGAATAATTATCTTGTAGATTTCCTAAGTAGAAATATCGAGTTTGGATATTGATAATATCAAACAAATGATATCATAGATAAAATTTGCGGCAGCTTATGCCAAAGATGAAGCAGATGATATAAAAATTGGGATGTAGACATTAGCTAAAATCTTGAGTTACAATGTTAAATTGTTACTTGAGATTAGTGAATCTCATACCAAGGTTACAAACGAAATGAAAGACAAAATTGATACTCTTGAAACACAATTAATGTCTATGAATACAAACAAGGATATAAAGATTGATTCTTTAGCACATTCTATTGATACAAATAGGTTGATACAAACAGGATGACTAAAAAAGACAATGATCAAGGAAGCAGTAGTGGACCTCGAGAAGATGTCATTATCAAAAGTTCAAAGAAGATAACAATCAATGAGAATCACACAAGGACTATCAGGATAAAAACGGATGAACCAGAGGATACTACCCCTTTATCGCCAAAAGAAGACGAATATAAACAATTTACAAAAATCGTTTACGAACTTAAATCAGCAGATCCATATTATATATCTCCAGGAGATCATATCTACCCAAGAATGATAATTATGAAAGGAGCAGATCCAGTAATGACCAAAGTTGCAACAAACTTTACATATACTGATCTAATATATCCAAATACAACATTAGAAGAAATTGAGAGATTTGATGATATATTAAAAAGTCAAGTTTCACAATTTGCACAGAATAGACCAATATATATGAAATTTTACTCCTTAAGTCCAGAAGTTGAAGATGGAATATACTATCCAGCAGAACATATAATTACGATAGGACATGTTGGAAGAAATTTCCAAATGGATATAGGAGAAGATGAAAAACCAGTTCCAAATTTCACAAGAGCATGGATAAAAAATAAGCGGGTACTAGGATATAAAGTTCTATACAATATGGCAAAAAAATTGTATGAACGGAAATTTCGATGCCTATGCCAGTACAATGGATGGACACTGTTTGCAAATGATGGCAAACAAAAATCTGAAATTTTAAAAGAATATATCAATAAATTTGATATACATCAAATAAGTGGCAGCATCTCAACCATCAAAAGGGCATGCGAAGCTAGAGGGCGTCCCACTTGCCAACAAAATAAAAAAGGAGATTCCAAAGAGATAAGAAGGATGTGACTAAAGGAAG